TGAGCAGCAGAGATTGTAGGAATATTTGAAAAGCTAAAGACAACCAGTAATCTTAATGACCATGCCACTAAATCAAGCACAGGGAACTGAAGAGAAGATAACCTCAAATGGTTACAATGACTTTATATGTATGTAGGATTTCAAGAGACCAAAGACCAAAGCCAGACAGTGTTCCTCCAACTTCCTGCAGGTCCCAACAAGGTAGAGAGAATTTATTAGGAAGAAGTACTCTGTATATGATAACCTCTAGGCTTGGGGGAGGGGTTACCAGTAGCAAAAGGACCTTTGATAAAATTGCTATGTCCATGATGTGATGCTTGGTGTAAATAGCAGATGTAAGTGAAAGGTATGGGTATCCAGGAGCATCTCTGGGTGAGTGTGCAGAGCCTGATCAATGAAGAAAAAAAATCTTTCAACTTTAAATGTGTATTTTGGGATCCAGTCTGTTCTCAGTCTAATAGTGAAACTGAGGCAGCTCACTAGACCCACAGAAGAGTCTCAGTGTACTAGGAATCTAGAGCTAGAGAATGAGGAGGACCAGAATAGTCACAGAAGACCTCATTGAGGTCTTTGAACTGATTATTCAAAGCACATATAGGATTCCAGGAAGTTATGAAATATTGATCTTAATACACTTAAAAAAAAACAGTTCCAAACACTTATTTTAACTGGGGAGAACATTGAGATGGATAATTGAGATTCTCACAGAATAGACAAATATTGTTTTAATAAATTTTTTTACTCTTTTTTTTTTTTAAGAAACTCACAATTGCTGGAGAACTGACAAAAGGATAAGTTACGGTTTTTGAACATCTTTGCCTCTTTCCCATCTTGGATGAAAGATCCCAAAAAGGAAAGTGGCCAGAAAACGGAGTGGGGGAAAGGTGGAGGAGAAAGATGGGGAGGAGCTTGCAAGAAATCTGTTTCCTTTAGGGAGTGGTTGTACCAGCCTCCGAATAGTTGAAAGCTGGTTGCACATTGGTCATCAATTGCTTAGATAAAGAAGTAGTAAACATTGTTAAACATTTAGAGGGAGTAGCTACAAACCATAAAGCAGGAAGTGAGCAACTGGCTCATAAAGTAAATTGGACAGAATAATCACAGAAATTAAGTCTACAGGCTAAGGAAGAAGTACGTCTGAGTGGGCCTGGTAATGAACATAAATAAACACTACAACCAGCATAAAACCTAGAGGTGGGAGAGATGGGAGCTGAAATCTGAGAATTTACCCCTTCTCAGTGAGGAGGGGCATTCCTCACTCTCATGATCTAGATGCAGGAGGTGGGTGGCGTACGGAAAAATCCCTGTGTTAGATTGGAAGTATGCGCATGCTCTCTATGTGGTGTTCTTCCAGTCCTTTCCCCTCACTTCCTTGCTCTTTCTATTTCTCCTACTCTTTTATTTTCTTCTTTCTCTAAATCAATGCTGCCAGGTCTGTCCAAGACACACAATGGTACTTGTGAATATTGCTTACCCCCTCTTGTGTTATGGAGCTGAAAGGTTTCTGCCTATGCCTAGAATATGAAATGCTTTCTGGAGCCATCTGATTCCATTGTCTTTTAGTGCTCACAAGGAGCCTCTGATTCTCTATTTGGCTTTCTGGGTACGTGACACCAGAGATGAAATCTTTTCAAAAGAAAAACTGGTCTTCAGTGACCAACCATGTCCTCTCACCTAGATTGCCTTTTCTCCTCCAGTCAGCCTTGTCATTCACAGGTTGCCACACTTAGCTCATTCATTGCTCTCTGTGTGTATATTCTTGTTCGATCCCCTATGTGGAATGGTCTATCCCAATTTCTCAACCAGTCAAGGGCCATTTAAAGCCATGGTTTCTTTAATTGCTCCTCCTCTTAACTTGATCCCATCCCTTACTGACCACCTAGATGTTGTGGATACTAGGTTACATCTAAGACTTCACTTTTCTGATACTGACATATATTTTTCTCTAATTATTTCACATATCTTTCTTGGCTCCTCAGTGAGCTTGTGAGCTCTTTGGAGGCAGAGCTGTCTTAGTGTGCTCTTGTTTTCCCATAGCATCTAGCACAGTGCTAGACACAAAACAATCACTCAGCAAAAAGGAATTAAGTTTCCTAATTTCAAATTAAGAAACTGATTCTCATTTACAACCCTCGCTCTCACAATTTGAGTCCATGTGAGCTAGTTTCCTTGTGTCTTTCCTTCCAATCTCTAGCTGAGAAGGTAGACATTTCAAGACTCTAAGGAGGGTTAGCAGATGGGCTTTATAGGGAATACCCTGAAGTCACAAAAACCTAGGACAGTCCCTGCCTGTCATTTTCATAATTTTATTAGTTCAAAATGGAGACTGACCCAGACTATAGATTTCTACTCCTCTTCTACCTTCTGTTTTGCCTCTCTTCATCCTGCTGTGTTTCCCTTTCTAGAATGTGCAGGGACTAGACTATCATCAGGACAGCCATGGTAAAGCAAGAGAGATTCTATAATGAGGGTCAGAGGTTTCTGATAATAATCAGGACTTTATGATATGGTCAACAACAGAAGCCAAACAGATAATAGGTAACAAAAATGAAGGCTAGGTGTGGATTCATATGCATAATTTTGATGAGTAAATGGTGAGAACTGGTGAACTGTAGAGCACATACCTTCTCAAGAAGGTCATCTGCTGCTCGGCTTCTTGTAAAATTGTTCTTTTAAGCACAAACGAGGGTCCAGTGTTGAAATTTTTCAATAGAAATCAGAAATATGGATTTTGGGGGTAGAAATTCTTAGTTTTAAATGTTGGCTCAAAAAAGTTATAGCATGCAGGCCAAACAAAATACATATGTGAGGCAATTTAGGCTTGAGTGAGTCCGTTTGTGACCTTTGAGCTAGCATATAAACTGGGAGACTAAGGAGGGTTGGGAGAGGAAGCTGGATTAGGCAGGGCACAGATGAGGAAAGGCCTCATTTGCCATGTTAAGGAGCTTAATGTTATCTGTTGGCCATAGGAAACCACCAAAGAGTTTTAATCAGGAGAGGGGCATAGTTGAACAAGTGTTTTACAAACATCAGCTTGGCTAAAGTGTGGGGAATTGGCAGTGGTAAAGGTGCTGCTAATGTTTCATAAGCAGCTTTCCGTGAAAAAGTCTTGATTTGTAGTGTTTGCCAATTCTGTGGTGTAAAATAGTCCTACTGTGGCCAATTTCAAGCTCCCAATATGACATCATGAGACATAGAATTGGGAAGAGGTGCACATAACCAGTATAACCAGTTCTCATCAGCTGATGTAAGCTAGCTCCAACACACTATTGGATGAGTTTCAGAAAGATTAGTTAAAATATATCACTAGCCCAGGTGAAGAGATGGTGAGATCTTAAACTAAATAGTATTTCTAGAAATAAACAGGAAAGAACATATTTACGACATTCATTAGATGCATCAGGTCATACTGGAGGTAAGATAAATTAAGGAGGTAAGGTTTCTGGTTTCCATGCCTGATTGAATGTTGTGTCATCAATTGAGATAGTGAATACAGGAGGAAGAGCAGGTTTAGGATTTTTAAAAAGTTGAATTTTGGACATGTTGAGTTTGAAGTACCTATTGCTGCAACGGTAGCAGGAAATTTTATAGCCTTACCGTTTATCTTGAAAGAAAGGTCATGGCTGAAAATGTAGATGTGATAGTCTTTAGCCTATAATAGTAGTTGAAACCAAGAGAATGGATGGGATAAACCTCTGCCTACCCTAGCTCCTCCTTAGCTGGGCCTGCTGATCTACCCCAAGGATTCAGCCCAGAGAAACCGAGGCTTTGAAGTAGGAAGCACTCAAGTGGCAGGGCTCAGCCTCCTCCATTCCAAATTCCAATCTTTGGGGACTTGCATTATGGTACTCTCTTTTTTCTGTTAGTTTCTAAATCTCAGCTTCTTCCCCACCTTAGCACTAGTTTGTAAAACAAGATTTTTCTCTGGACCCCTAGTCCAGAGTTTCTTTTCATGTAATGAGCCTAATAGCTTAGGTCTAGTATATTTTCTGTATTATCAGTGCCTTTGATTGTGTTTGAGAGTTATTTTATAACCCTGTAAATTGTAATGCAAATATCTGGCAGAATATAATTGATTATTGCCTTGTGAATCTGTTTGTAAATTCTTTCCATCTATTTGTAAATTTCTTTCAGCATTCCTGATGGCCTTGGTAATCAACCAGGGCACAGGACCACGTGAGGGCCAGGATAACTAGATTGACGTCAACTATATGATAGGCTTCAATACAAATGACCATTTATTATTTTATGATTTTTCTATTGGGCATTGATTTTGATAGAAGCACATCTGTCAGCAAAACAAAATCAGAATGAACAAAAAGAGGGTCTTTCATGCAAAAAGAGGAGCTGAGTCCCTCTATTTTGTTTTAAGTAGTTTATAGCCATACGATTGAGAAGTAGGTTTATTGCCGTACAATTGAAAATTGGTAGATATTATTGAGAATCCCAGTTTAGGACTAGAAGTCCTTGGGTGATAAAAATTAAGCTCAGTTGGTTCTCAGAGTGTAAAGGAAAATT